AAATAAACCATTGTCCTCTAAGCAGAGCCCTTTAATGGCACATGCAGGCTAGTGATTCTGTCCTTTATATAGCAGCCTGCCTTTTTCTGGATTTTGGAACTAAGCAGTAAGGTTTGTGCAACTTCTAGATGTGGACATTCTGAATGATCAGAAACTTGTCCAGCCCTGTTCTGTCAACAGCCACAAAACTTTTAATTCATATACATTGATTGATTATGTCCAACAGGTCAGTTTCAGCCCTTCATGATCACATAGTTAGATCTTCTCCATATTCTGCCACTGAGCTGTAGTCTCACCCAAAGTTTAAAATACTGTAGTCTTCCCTGATTACATTGATTCAGGCTTTTTCTTGGGACCTGAAGATACCCTCCATCTGATCCCCACATTTCATACAGTTCTCTTCTTAATGGTCCTTCCTTGACAACAGAACATTGCTATGATCTTTGTTATGAAGCCATGCCAGACTGGGGTGAATGAAAAAAGAGATTTCAGTTCCCTTGAACTTCAAGGGTACCCCTTCTCCCTGCAGCCAGGTACACTTAGCAGCATTTCAGCTGCTTTAGTAATAAAATGCTGGGCAGAATGCTATCTGTGTGGATATGAGTATTTCTGAGAATTGTTCATTTTTAAATAACTGTGACACTGGACCCAAGAACAAAAATGAATCAGGAGTGACTGGGTCCCTACTGCGGAGATGGCATACTCCAGCTATTTCAAATGGCTCACTATGAGCAGTTAGAGTTGCTTCAGTTCTTCTTACTAAATGCAGGCTTCTGGAAACTCTTCCGGAGATGATGTCTCTTGGAAAGCAGAGTCTATAACCACTGCAGGGACAGGAGGTCTTGTTGAAAACAAGAACAGGGATGTGGCTGATACGGAGAAACTGACATCTGATGTTTGCAAAAACATGATAGCAAATCATACTTGTTCTATGAACAGGCAGCTCCAGGAGACCCCGTTGGTTATTGCTGCTCCCTGTAGTGGTGCTGCCCCCTCTACTGTTGCTGCTCTCTGTACTAAAAACATGTTGTTTGCCCTAAAGATTGAAAAATGCTGCTGCTGCTGCCCCTTTCTTCCTTTTAAAGGATTACTCAGGTAGTGTGTAGCCAGTTGCTGGAGTGTGCTGTTGATCTGAAAGTGCACTCTACTCGTTCTCTCCACAGGTGAGTCCCACAAAGTCTGCACTGAAATGGAAAGGAATGAGAAAGCAGCTGGTGCATCTTTTGGAGTACAAATGAGTGGTTTAAGTGGGAGGACAGGGCCAATATCTGCTTCAGTAGGTAGATGGCTTATCTTCAAGTTAAGCTTTCCAGAAAGCAGAATGGCCTGTTATGCCTCGCGTAGCATGCAGTTATGATAGCTGCCCTTCCATCAACCATGCTTAAATTGCAAAGGATCAAGCATCATTTCTGTCTTATCATTTATGGTCTTGGTCAGATCCATTCATGTGACCAAATTGATTAAGTAAGAATGTAAGTTGTTTAGATAGATGCATCCAGATTTGCTAGACCCTATGTCAAAACGAGCAACTCTTTACATCAGTGAGCCTGACCTCCACCAACTGAAACCTTGATAAATTCTATATATCTTTACATTTTAGCCCATTTGGCTATTGCTTGTTTTTCTGGGGAAGCTGGAGAGCCAAAGCATTGGCCCAGCCTGACTACAAAGGCAGAAATTGATGTTTGCAACAAGGAGATAATTGTAAGATGTCAAGTTGATTAATAAGAAGAGAAATGACTGGGCCAAACAGCATGGATATATATGGTTGCATATTGCCTGTTCCTCTTGAGTCTTTGCATAATCTGATATTTGGAACTCAGCCCCAGCGATTGGTAGAAGCATCCAGCCCCTGGGCTCTGTTGTCCCTGTACATTTGATCTATGCCATATGGGACAAGGAAGACCCTCTAGCACTTTTGCAAGAACTGAGATCCGCACACAAATGGCATTTCCCTCCAAGTCCTACTGTCAGTTTTTATTTTAAAGGTGGGGGGGGGGGAGCTTTATAATAGCTAGGATTGTTGTAAAAGCCAACTTAAAACTATAATGCAGGGCATCTTCAACCTTCATTGACCAGGCAATTAATTAGATGAATATCAGTAGTTCATGGACATGTGCATACACTGCATTTTGTGTGTGTGTGTGTGTGTGTGTGTGTGCATACACATGTATAAATAATTATATAAAATCCTCTTTCAAGAAAAATGTAGGTCCCCACCCCAGCAAATGCAGAAACACAGAACTTGTTCAGTTACTCAAACAGGACCCTGTGATACTCTAAAGTATTTGTTTGTATTTTTTGTTTGTATTTTTCAAGAAAACAACCTAACCAGCCATGCAAAATTATATCAGAGAAGTTCTTTTCCCACAGCAGCCAACCAAATGCCTAAATGGGCAATTTTCCTAATACCATGGACAATATAGGTCACCAGGAGTTTCCACTTACACGTATGTGCACATGATCAGGCATCCATTCTTTCCTATGCCCCCCTCATATAGTCACAAATGCACAGACACAGAGTGCTACAATCCCTTCCCACCCAGCAATGTTGAGCAGGCTTGCTGAGAGAGAGAAGGAAGCAACAAGGTAATTCAATTCAGGAGTTACTAAAATATGTCCTAGTCAAAAGCCTAGTAGCAGTTATAAATATACCAGCTTATCTTCACTCGTGTGCCCATACTGAGTGGGAGGACTGAACTGGGAAACTCTGTAACCTTGTTTAATGGATTCTGCATCAAAGCATCCTCAAAGAATCTTCACAAATAAGCCAAGGGCAGAAGAGCTTTATATGAAGCTCTCCTGCTCTAAGATATGTGGCCAGTGAATCTGTTAAGGAAACTCTCCCCCACCAGTTGTCATTTTCCGAAATGAGATTGGTTCATGGATGAATATTTATCAAGTGATTCTCACCTGATGTTCAGTTATCAGACAATTTAATTCTTGCACTACAGTGGTAGATGTTCACCTCACTTCAAAGGTAGGACGCTTGAATGAAACAGCTTACACATTCCTTTGCCAAAGTTAGGCATCAGCTGTAGAGTAGTCAAGTGGTGTATCTGCATGAGTAGATCACCCCAGAAACTCAAATTAAAAATTGGGATTTACTCTCCATTCCTGGATAGAATTTGTAGTCTGTAGTCTCAGGCTGTCTAGAGCTGTTCCTGAACCTCAAAATGGTTACCACACCATTTTTCATATAACAGAAGAGAATATTTATTAACCACAGAAGTAATAATATTAACTATAAACTTAATAGAATTTAAATTGAATTAAATTGGAATCAAATTTAGTTTTAATTTAGTCTGAAAACATCCATTTTCTGGAGTGTTGTTCCCAGGTGGTTATTCAAAAACCAAGTGTGATTTTCATCTGAAAGAGATTGTGTGCTCCTGCTGCAGAAGAAACTGGTGAACATCTTCATTCTTACAGAATTGTATAGTATATGTAAAGTTATTAATACTATAATATGAAACAAACCAACTTATACAAGTTATATTGAATTTAAACAATTTTAAAGGATTTAATCCTGAATTAGCATTTTAGAACTGTATTTTTATACCCACTTCTACAGGAAGTAAGCATCATTCCAAATTGATGGGTCCAAGCTCTAACACTGTAAGTCCTTCCTTCCATCCTTCCTTCCATCCATCCTTCCTTCCGTCCTTCCTTCTGTCCTTCCTTCTTTCCTATAAAAATATAGGGAAACTTAGAAGAATTACAAATTGAAGATTTTTATCCTCTGAACTCCCCTCTGAAATGCTATGAATTAAGCAGGGTGATTACATAAGAATAGTTTTTAAGCTGCCAGTATTCTTCCAGATACAATTCCAAGTGTTGTTTCTGACCTTTAAAATCCTAAATGGATTTCCCCCTAGGTACATGTAGGATCACCTTCTCCAGGTAGGACCAGCCTATCCAGTATGCTTGTCCTGGATAGGAAAACTGTGTATGCTGACTCTCTAAGAAGTCAGGTCAGTGGGGGTCCAGGGATGGTGCTGTTTTGTCATGCCCCTTACCCTAAGAAGTAACCTCCCTCTTCATTAGTCACGATTATCTCAATGACAACCTTGACTTCATTTTCAAAAGATGCCTACATGGAGTTTTCCTGCAGGGTCTTTGAAAACTGATGTTGCTTTATTCTGACAGATGCTAACTGATAGTTAAAATTATGGTGACAGTTGATTTGATCTGTTATTGTATATTTTTACACTGTTCATATCTGTGTTGCTTTATATTTTTATCACTGCAAACCACTAGGTGTCTCTGGATTCTGATGGCATATAAACGAGAGGAATAAATTATTACTACAGGGATTCATCCCAAGAAAACATTGTCCCCCTTTTAGGCAGATTGACTAGCTGACCCCAAAACTTGTTATGTACAGTATGTCTTATCTGATAAATTTCAGGAAATGAAACTGACTGCTGCAAAATTCTGTAGTGGAGCTTGCCAAATTTGCCATTTCTCCCAGAAGTCTACAGCCTCCCTGGCTTCCTATGTTTCATTTAAATTCCAAGAGCAGACATCAGAAGATAACTCCTCCACTGAGCTACTTTTTAATAGTGGTGCCATAGCTGAAACCAAGGAGTCCCTGCCCTTGAGAATTGGTTGGATAATTTCTCTTCCCATAGAGGAATTAGGAGGAATTGTTGAACCAATATCTCTCCCCTAAAATTTTGTACAGTATGTCATAAGGCCTTTGGGGTTTAGGTCTCCCTAGAAGCTTGCAACATTCCATTCTGGAATATTGCATTTAAAGTCATATCTAAAGATTAGTGGATGTGGACTTCTGAGACATGAAGACTTTCTGATAGAAACAGAGACTGGCACTAACCCTTCACACTTCATGATTGATACTATAGCTAGAATGTCAAAATGTGGCCATTTCACTGTGCAGGATTTTTTTTTCTTTTCTTTTCTTAGTAGGCATGGATTGCTGTGAAAGGTGAGGCTCAATTAACTGGTGCAATTTGGCTGCTTCGAAGAACCATAGCAAATGAAAGCCCTTTTAGGCTTAATGCAGTGGTGACATGAGTTAATGGTGCTGTTATCACCTGATAGTGCAACCCCATGTGAGGTAAGTTGAGTACAGGCCACTGTTTCCTGCAGAGTTGATGACTTACAGTAATGTGATGCAACGGGCAATCTGGAGCACAAGTGTCTTAAATCTTTCCATGGACTAGGCAATTAATTTCTCCCCTAACTGCATGACAGAGAAAACTATAACTATTCCTGCTAGCAGATGATTGCCTTATGTGAGAGATAACTATTTCAGAACTGAGGATACGAGGCATGAACACATGATCAAAGTATTTGCTTTCATTCTGAAACTCTGTGCTCCTGATCTAAAGAGGGGAATTTGGGCTAGGATGGAAGGAGCTAATCCAGATGTTCACAGGAAGACATACCCTGTGGACCTGCTTCTGACTTTGAACATGAAATGGAAATTCCTTATGAGCTTATTAGGTGAAAGAGTAATATATAAAGTAAACAGGCACCAAGTTTTGCAAGACATGGCACCAAACTCTGGGATACAATTACAATGGACATTGAGATTTAATTGAAAACTGCACACTGCATCTGGCCTTTTCTTAAACATTACTGGGAGATGCAGAAGACTGAAAGCTGTCCAGGGAAGTTATCAGAATAAAATGCCTCCAACCAGGGACTTAAAGAAAAACAGGAGCTGGGGCAAACATATAAATATGCTTTGTCTAAATATGACTAAGTTAACAGTTAACTAAATATGAACTATATAATTTTTTCAAGTTGGCTTTTCATAAAATCTCCAAGATTGGGTTCTTTTTTATTGTAGATGTTCTACCAAAAAAGTTCACCTGGATATATTTTTTTTATGTATTTAACTAAAATAGAGGGATCCTTAAATTTAACATTGGGACATATATTATCATGGTGGCTCTTTTCAACCTAAAGAATCAATGTTCCAATTTTTCACTACTCCTCACTTTGGCTCACTGTACTGATTCATCTATATCCATGAAATTATTTGAAAAGGCTGCACTTAGTATGTGGTCCTGACAAGATCCCAAAGCACAGCATACTGTATTTTCTTTCCCCCCAGATATTCGCAGCACATCCTAAACTGCAGCTAAAGAAATGAAGCTTAAGAATCCAGTGGCATGTTTGCCAAGAAAATCTTTTCAATCAGCAAATCAGTAGTGTAAAATGAGTAAGCAGAGAAGGCAGGGCAGGAGAAAGAACTGCAAAGGCAGCATCTAGATGGTATAGTGGTTAAGATCCTGCTCTAAGACTGGAGAGACCTAAGTTCAAGCCTAGCCTTAGGTACAGAAACTCAGTGGATGATGGCCAATCACAATATTTCAGCCCAGTCTACCTGATTGGGTTGTCCTTATGGGGGATGGGGAAAAATGGAGGATAGAATGCTTCTTCATTCAACTTTCTTGAATCCTTGAAGACCGACCAGGATATAAATCTGAACATTTAAAAATCCAGTGAGATTGGGCAGGTAATTGGAGCTTTTTTGGGGGGGGGGAATTTTAACGATTCATGTTTGAACTTGCTGTGACTTTATCATAATCATTCAAACATATGAAGATGTGGATATCAATATGATTAGTTAGTTTCTGTGTTAAAATATCACCCTTTCTTATGTTTTCTTGACCAAACTGTGGTTAAATCATTGCAGACTTTGGAAACTGCTGACCGCTACAATTTACCTCTCCTTCTGAGTTCATGCAGGAAAGAAGGAATTATGCTTCCCTGTTATTATTTTGTGTCTATCAGCTTCCCTCCCATGCTGTTCTACCCTTGTGTTACTCTTGGCTACCTTATTTTCTCCATTCTTGCTTGTTCTCAGCATGGCTGTTGGTGGAATTCTGATGGCTCTTGTTTTATGCCTAAACAGTTCTAGCTTCCCCTACCATATGGTCATCCTGATGTTACCATTTGCCTCAATCATCCTTTTTGTAGTTGCTTGAACATCTTAATTGATCTCATGAGCTATGTTAGGGATTTATAACAGACATCGATGTAATTCATCTCATAAGCACGTAACTGTCTTTCTCTCCAATCGGAAGCATGCATCTCATGCATCTATAAATATGCCCCAAACAGCTTTTTATCCCTGTGGTGATATAAACATCTTGGAAAGATTGTCAGGATTGCATACAAGTCTTTTGTAAATGAAAGCATGTTGGTGTGTTATCTCTGTTTGCATTTTTGATGCAATTCTCTTTTGTTTTGAGTAGCGAGGAGCAGAGTCAAGCACACCTCTTCCTTACTGAAAGGATTTTTAGTAAAAGCAGAAAGGTTATTATAACCTACAGTGATTTCCTCGTGTTTGCACTCTGCAATATGGTCACATTTTGGAGTAAATCTACTGAATGTTCAGATTTTTTTTATTTTTTTTTTTTGGCTTCTGTTAGGATTTTTCCTAAGGGTTTTTTTTTTTTTTTTAATCTGTAGCATACCAAAGGAAATGAACATCTACACGAAGCTGCCCGGAATACAGGTTTGTGATTTTCTGCTCCAGAAAGCATGGGGCTTTCAATGGCAAATTTGATTGCATTATTAATGCAGGCGCCTATTAGTTCATATGTGAAACCTCACCGTGATGCATATCACATGTCCTTTACCCACCTACCAAGACTATATAAATGTGGGCATAATTACTTAATATTTTAACCCTTCTTTAATTCCCCCAAAACTTAATGTCTATTTCTCCATCTGTCCAGTACACCTCTGTAATCATTATCATTATGTAACAATAAACCTAGATAATAGCCTGGATCAAGGTTTCATCTACCAATGTGTGAAGGGGTAATGAGAAAGCATGGGTTAGTTCCAATGATCCACAGCACCTTGTGGGCCAACAGGGTCTCTGAGCAGATATGCTCATGGTTCTAGCTAAAAGGAATGGCTTCATTAATCTAAGCTTTGCAGCATAGTCCTGACAGCTGTATTTAGACTTCAGTCAGTAGGACATCAACTTGGGAGCAACAATGGAATGTAGGGAATCCTCCAAAGGCTGGAGCAAGGCTCTTCAGGACCTCAATTAACACCTGAAGAGTGCAAGCAAAAGTTCCTCAAACAGAATAATTTCTGCAGGAAAGGCCCTTCACCTGGAAAGGGACTTAGCAAAAAACAGTGTTTAATTATGATGACTGTGATGTATGGAATAGCATGTGCATTAAGCGCAGTTCCTTTCTTATCTTATAGCCTCACCTTCTACTGTTGCACCAGTCAGTTTGCCACCTGTGGGGGTTGACCTTTTCCTGCCTTTTGAACAAGGCTTTTATCTCCTGGGGCCCATGTCTGGCAGAGGTCTGTGTTGGCCAAGTACCAACATAAAGTTTCCTTTCTGCCTCAGTGAGCCTGTCACTCCTAAGTTACAAGGTAGTAAACCTGGAAGGTAGCTCTCAGTGCAGTGAATAGCTTCCCATTTATCTTTTTTTTTTTACTAGGTGTCATGAATTCTTGCCATGAGATAGTGAGATGAGGAGAACTTCCTCATTAGAAGGACGTGTTGTCCTTCTTGCAAACCTCTGTTATGAAAAGGGATGACCTCTTCCTGTGAAGAAAACTGCCTTATTCAGCAGAGAAAATAAAAGACCGTCTCTTAGGGCTTTTGAACTGGTGCTGTCTAAAATCAAAACAGGAAATGAAACAAGGATGTCTTGAACTATAGTTCATCATTTAGTATTGGGGTGTCCCAAGAAATGTCATATTACTTTCTCCAGCTGCTCCTCTTGGTTTTCTTATGTGAGATGGAATAGTGAGGTGACAGTAAAATCACATTTTCTATTAGCAATAGTGAGGGTGCAACTGATATAGAATCCCCTCCATCATTACCTTTAAGATCTAGCAGACATTCCTGGGCAGAGAGTGCAACCTGCATTTGTTGCTTCTCTTATGTGGTAAGAACCCAAGTATATTTTCCCAGGTCGCCCAGTTTTGTGCCTCCATATATACTATTCGTCTTACCTGTAGCTGAAGATTCTGATTCATTTACTTACGTGTATTTTATGTTATTTTATTCTATTATTATTGTACCTTTCCCCCTGTACTTTTATCATCTATATTTCATTCTTATTCCTTGTTATATGTCTTAGATTTACACATACTACTTGCCATTCATATATATGTCTATTTATATTCACTTACTTTTTAAGTTTTGTATCATTGTTTTCTAGCAGTTCCCAACTATCAATTCAGTGCTCACTTGATGTAGCTAAAGTTGCTGCTCCTGGTCTTTGAGTATTACACTGATATGTGTAGAGATGGGTTATGATCTTACCACTTGTCTGCTTTAACTAGTTATTGTGAGCTCCCAATTACTTTTTTGTCCAGTAAACTAACCACTGATAGTGAAGTGAGAACTGACCCTCTAAAAGTTTAACATATTCTGCAAAACAAGCATGCAAACATTGTTAAAAATCCACTAGATCATTTTAAAAAAAGCAATAACTCTCCCCAAATCTTATTCAGGGTCATTTTTGTATATTGTTCATACAGCTACAACATTTGAGGAAAGAATCACCCTGCCTTACAGAAAAACAAAGGAACTCCTACCATCAGGCTGCTGTGGGTGTGCAACACAGAAACAGCTGCTTTAAATTGCACATTTTTTTATTAGAACACTGACTCTTGTTTATTGTTATTGATTTTATTGGGTTATTATTGACTCACTGCACCCTGTGGGCCTATTAACAAAAGGCTAGCAAAGCATTAAAGCAAGCCAGACTTTTTGGTGTGTTGTGCTTACAGCATTTGCTTTTATCTTTTCTTTTCTTTTCTTTTTCTTTTTTTTAGTGTCAGTTGCTAGAACAGTTTCACTGAAACACCCCAAGTCCAATGAACAAATTAGATTGTACAGAAAATCAGGCAGAGAAGTAGTTGACTAAGTTTATTCTTTATTATTCCTTAAGATATTAAAGTAAGAGGCATTGATTTGTTGTTGTTGTTGTCTGGTTTGTTCATTTATGTTTTGCCTTGGGAACTGTGACTTGCCAGATGTTGCTAAACTACAATTCCCAACATTCCTCAATGTCATCTGTGCTGGTTGATACTTCTGGGAGTTGCAGTTTAGCAACATCTGGAAAGCCACAGGTTCTTCATCCCTGTTCTATATGGCACGGCTAGGGCTGCCACATGTTTATTAATGTTCCCCAGCTTGACCACCATGCTTCTATCAGTTGTATGACAGCTAGTAATTCAGCATGTGCGGTTTTCCCTGATACTTTGCGTTCATGCTAGGAAAAGCTGCCGATACCGCTTTTAAAAGAGGAGCAGACAAGTTCATAAGGAATAGCTTGATCAATGTTTCTTGTCAATGATAGCTAAATTAAGTCTTGGTGTTCAGAGGCAGTTTACTCCTGAATGCCAGACACAAGAGAACAGGACCTAGAAAGCTCAGTGATTGCCTTCAGGTTCTGCTTGGTGTTTCCCAGAAGCATGGGGCTGGGCCACTATGGAAAATAAAGTACTAGACTTGATGTGCTTTTGACCTGACCTAGCAGGACTCTTTATGTTGGCGTTCAGGTGCTTCTGAAGCACAATGGAATCTCATGGACTAGTTAAATCTGGAGGTTCACTGATCAAGCTGTTCATCTGGGTGTGTATTCTACTGATTGCAAAACAAATCCAGTACTACATATCAGTGTTTCATTTCCTTCCAAAGGGAACCGAACACTGAAATGCCTTGTTCCTGAAACTTCTAACTGTTCTGGAAAATGTGGATGACATCATTCTACCAGGAGATGTGCCTTTTCTGCCCTAGTGCCTGCCCTCTGGAAAATCCTCCCTCCTGAGATTGGGATGGCCCAGACCATGTTGGCTTTTAAGGGGTTGAAACATGCCCAGGTTGGGCCTGAGTGTGTGAATGGCCCTGTTTCCTGGCTATATTGACCCCAATGGATCATAATATCTCTAGGCTGGTTTGTTTGTTTGCTTGTTTGTTTGTTTATTTAGGGTGTTGTGTTTTGACTGTTTTAATTGTTTTTATGATTGTTCACCCTCCAGAGTGTCTGGCTGGAGATGAGCATCTATACAAATCAAATCAAATCAAATCAATAAATAAAAATTTCTTAGACAACTTGGTGGGGTTAGAAACATCCAACAAGACTCCAGTGCATCTTTTTCTTCCTCTTCTTTGTCCAGTTAATAGGGAATTGATATACTAATTATAACAAACCACGCACCATTAATAAACAAACAGACAAAAAAGAAAATCACTGCTTATTTGTTGGGTAATGTAAATGCAGTATAGGGGTACAAGGCATTTTACTTGCTGGATATTTCATTTTCTTCAATTTATTATTGATGCTTTTCTTATCTATAGACCCATTTAGGTAGTAGTATTTATTTCACAAAATATAAGACATTTGGGACCACTTTGGAATATAAACCAGATTTAAATATACTCCTAAAATATATGTTTTGGAAAAACAGAACACATAGGACCTTTGAAGATAACAGAAAGTTCACAATATTGACCAATATTGTCATTGACCTACATATAACATAAAAGTGCTAGTCTTCTGAGAAACTCAGTATCTTATTTTGTAGCTAGCCAAATCTAGTTGAAAACAAGAATTCAGGCAAAATCTAGTGCATCCTTCTATTTATAATAAAAATCCATAATTTGATATTAATTGAATGATGAATATGTCAAGTAAACTCAACCTAAAAAGTCCAAAATTATTTGCAATTGTAGGATGTTGCTAATCATTGTCAATATGAAGTTGCATTTTGTGGATTAAAATCAGTGAGCTGTATCCTGCATCAGGATACCCCACATGGGTTACGATTTCATCTCCCAGAATTCTTAACAACAGCTATGCTGTGAGTGAATTCTGGGAGTTGGTTGCCACATCTGGAGAGCTAAGGAAAGCTGTTTGAAAAAATATGTACTTTCGCCCACTTTCACTTTCATCATCACTTTCACTTTGGACATTACAAAGCTTGTGTGTAAAGGCTATTGCAGGGGAAAAAGCAGTATTTGCAAATTATTGCTTTTCAAGTAAATTTAATTTTAGGGCAGTATCCGACTCTAACCCTCTACAACCTTACTCCATAGGGTAACTTTGAGTAGATGTGGGAGGATGTTTTAATTCAGTGTGGCCTACAAAGATGTCAAGTTTTGTAAATCTTTTCTATCGGGTTAACTGACAATGGACTCATCAGAAGTAACTGGGAAATTCTGGAAATCTTACCACACCGCAAGTCCAATGGAGAACCAAACCAGTTTGGTTACTATTCAGGACACTTTCATGCAAAGTAGTTTGAAAATCCATTTCCAGGGCTTGTTGGAAAACAGAAGCTTAGTGGGGGAGATGATGGGAATTAGTCTCTCAGGTCAGCAGAGGCTGGTAGTAACACACAATCAGTGCTCCTACTGTGCCATTTTTGGGAGCTTACTGAAGGAGCCACCAATGCTAAACATGGCATTTTTGCCATGTGTTGTAAAGCTCTTATTTCTAAGCTGAGATAAAAGAAAAGGTTATCAACTCCAATACCTCCTCAGCCACTATATATGCTCAACCCACAGCACTACTGTAATGTTTAAAAGCCTGTTACCAAATGGACAGATGCAATTGTAGCATCATAGGGTAGCTTTTCATCTTGGCCAAATGGCACTTTCATGTTAAAGAGATATGCAGTGGAACCTGCTGTCAAGATATGGGACACTCATCTGTCAATGTAGGTCACAGTTTCTGGACATTTGTTTTATATAACACTGAGAAAGGCCATCAAATCTAAGCACTGGATTCATTCATTCATTCATTCATTCAATTTCTATAGCTGCCCATCTCAATCCAAGTGACTGTGGGTGGCGAACAATTTCAATATTTTTCTACTATTATTATTATTATTATTATTATTATTATTATTATTTACACAACAATGTGAAATCACAGCTGCCAGTTCTTTAGCTGATGTTGGCCTTCATTCGCACTGAGTTCTTCCCAAGAACCATTCATTCAATTTCTATAGCTGCCCATCTCAATCCAAGTGACTGTGGGTGGCGAACAATTTCAATATTTTTCTACTATTATTATTATTATTATTATTATTATTATTATTATTATTTACACAACAATGTGAAATCACAGCTGCCAGTTCTTTAGCTGATGTTGGCCTTCATTCGCACTGAGTTCTTCCCAAGAACCTAGGTTGTCATAATGTATCAGCATAGCATATGTTCAGATCCAAGCAGTGTGGTCTTTTCCAAATCACATGATCATTGGCTAACTTCAAAAGGAGACCCTTTTGTTTTAAAAAGGCAGAAGAATGTTGCTTCCATTATCGTTCCAATTTTAAAACTGTTCCTAATGATGAATTAAGTTGTTTTCAGTCTTTCTCTTCGTTACACACACATAGACAAGCAGGTATTCACGTGGCATTTACATTCTGGGCTATGTCAAATATATAAAAATAACAACCTAAACTTGTCTCCTTTCATAAAATAATATCTGGAGTACAGTATTAGATTCCCTCCTATCAGAAAAATGTTATATATGATCTGAGCTGTCTTGTTTTCTGAAGCAATTCCTTCTTGTGGTTCTGGGGAAAACCCACTGTTGTGATTACTGAGATGAACTTGAGTAAGTGTGGAATTATCCATGGATGGCTACAGCTTCTTTTCTATGCAAATATGATAATGAAAATAGCTTTTATGTTTGAACTCGCTCTGACAGTAACGATTTCCTATTGCAAATGAGTCCAGATCATGACAAAGCAAAATAGCCACTGATTGTTTGCAGGGTTCCATGGTATTTTGGCACTATTCTTTCCCAAACCCACAGACATGTCTTTGCCCATATTTGGAAGCTTGTTGCCTTCCTTTGCTTTTTGCAGTTGAACTTCCAAAATGTGAATGTCAGATGTATGACTCAACTAGTTCTGCAGATGCCCATTCCATACTGTCCAAGACAGCTGTTGGTAGCCAGATCAGAGTGAAGGAGGCCAGGAAAAATATTTCTTCAACTACAGAGGTGCTATTTGGTTAGGATGGGTGGTGTTGAATGATATGAATTTGGGTTTATAGCAATGTGTAATAGCCAATTATTCCTATAGTAGCAACCAGGACAATTAGCTATAAGTAGGTAATTCTACCCCCTTAATTTCCTGTCATTCTTTTTCCATTACAATGTTACTGTTTCTCTAGATTATCAACTTTTTTCATTTCTCCACAGCCCCTCCCTCTCTCCTACCCTTCCCTTCGTTTCTTCTTCCTACCTTTTTTTTTCTACTATTCCCTCTTTTCCAATTCTTCTCTTTGCCAGCTTTAGCAGCCCAAGATTTCAAGTGGAAAATCTGCCACCAGGATTTCCTCCACAAACATTAATGGATGCACTTGAAAAGCCAGCCCTGCCCTTCCCTCCATCATCTAATTTCAGACACTGAGGGGGCAGACAAAACAGATGGTTGGCATGGAGGAGGATGATTCACAGCATAAAATCCTGGTGAAACATATCTGAAATCAGTGAGAAAGGCACAGACCTGACATTTGACAGAGACATGTGAAAAACGAAAAGTTCCAGACAAAGGTCAGGCTTATACGCCTGTTATTTTCCAGATGCACCCATCATGGGCGATTAATCCTACAGCTCCATTGAGAATACACCTCTTTCCCAAACTTGCCAAATTTTATTTGTGCAGAAGGCAGTTCTGGAATTATTTCAGAGAGGGGACAGATACAGGAGGATTGCAAAACAAATATGTGAGGAAGAAGGGATAGGTCAAGAAGAAGGGGAAGACCAAGCAAATTGTGGTTGAGTAGAGTTGATGAAATTCTGAAAAAAAGAGAGCTGAGAAGTTTAAAGAAGAAAAGGCAATGTATCAAGTGGTACATGGATATGATACTGTAGAAGCAAAGTTCCTATGCAACCATAGAAAGGTATGAATAGATACAGTGAATAATGTTGGGATCAACTAGATTTAGCAATACTTTTTCCTATCTCATGCCTTATTTCTTACTCCCCTTTGTGATTTGTATAACTTAGCTCACCCAGAGAGGGAGTAGCATGATGCATTTATCTGCTGAGTTTTTGAAAGGAGGTTGGAAATTTGCAAATCTGTCCATATCTCTGAAAAGCAGGGGATTTGCCCTTGTCTTCTACTAAGCAGAGTTCTTCATATCCTTTGTCTGGAATGAGGTGAAAGAGCTTCCACTGAAGCTAGTAATTAACAACATTGATTGCTTCTACCACAAGTCCTTTAATGCTGCTGAGAAACTCCTATTCCAGATTTAGTGTTGAACAGAATTGGCACCTACAGGCACTTATAGCAGTAATATCGCTGTAACATTCAGGAGAGCCTTCTGTGCTATCAGTTCTTACTACAAAGTTTCTTCATGAGAAAGCTGCATTTCATAAAAGTCATGGACAAATGATTGTTGCTTGCAAATTTAGCTCATTTTATTAGTCACTGTTGATCACCGAGGAGGGATTAAGTGATGAATTAATTGCTCTATGGGTAATTCATTTATTATTACTTGCCCATTGAGTTGCCTTTCTGAACTGCCACACTGTCAGATGCTGTTGGCATAGACATGCAACATTTGATTTACTGATATTCTCTTATTTCTTTTTAATTTTCTTTTTGTTTCAGTAAAACATGAACAGGCTAGACACCTATTTCCCCAAATAGGGATTAACAGGTAGAAATAAAGGAGCTAAACCTGCAAACAGGGTTTAATTAAAACAACAGGAACTCTGAAAAGCTGTAGGAACACTTTGCCTGCCTACCCTGGAGAGGCTACTATTACATTTGATTTTATTACAAAAGTATTATTAGTAATCAAGTCCAAGAATTGTGTAAGAGCTAAACACAAAAACCCTGAAGTTCACTCATCTAACAATGAAGTTGTCTGGAAGCTTTGCAAAAAATAAGTGAACAAAGGATGGCAATTCCAGAAAAAAATGTTAACTAAGATCATTAAGAGGATGGGAAATCTATTGCTTGGAGTAAACTTGCTATAATGGCCTATGGCTACACACACAATATTTGAAATAGAAATCTTAGGGATAAGAACACGAAATTGGAAATAAAATTCAGCCACTGAGTTTTGTCTGTAACTAAAGTCAGTATATCTGAAGTATGCACACCCACGCTTTGATTTTTCTTCTTTTTTTCTTTTTTAGCTATATCAATCTGTTTTGTGTGCACAATAAAAGATAAGATCAGAGCTCACCACGTCTTGAAACACCTGCTCAGATTTGATCTGAAAACTGAAAATCCCCCAAAATGTTAACATGAGATCCCTCTTTGTTGTTTCAGTTCAGCTCAGCTGTTCTGCTTGTGTGTGAGTATATTTTTGTATATAACTCTGGATTCTGTTGACTTATTTTGCTCTTTTTGAGTGGGTGCCATTTCTCTTCCAATCATTAAAAGCTATTGCCTTCAAACACCTAATAAATAATCTTCTTTTATCCCCTACTTCTCTCTCTGCTTTTTTTTTTTTCACCCACAAACAGTGCAAAAATGGCAAGCTCTACAAAGCTACGAACAACAAAGAACCTGGAAAATCACAAAGGCTCAAATCTGTAAAATGTACCTTATCTGACATTTATATTTGAACACAATATGCCCATGATAATATTAACTTCAATCAGAAATAACCTCAGATTAATTGATTATGGGGATGACGCTACTAACAAAAATTCAGATGGACTAAGTCCCTCATATACATGTAAAGTACGTGAAAGTGCAAAACAAGCTTTTCTTTTGATCATATGCTTTGCCACTGGTTTTAAAGCAGGGATCCAATCCAGTCTGGTTTGTACATATTCAGGACTCAGGATGAGACTTCAAGAGATATATCTGCCAAATTCAGTGGTACCTGGATGAGAACCTGGATGTATCCCATATAGCACCTTGTTCAGAATCAAAAGTATAGAATTCAGCCAATAAAATAATCCCAGCATTTCAACAATCAGTTGAAATCTAATGGAATCAAAACTACACATACACACACATACACAGAGAGAGCACCCTTGATTAGAGTACTACTAATGCATGATTAGTCAGGATGTACTCATTCTCCTCCATGATTTTGCAATCTATGACATCTGGCCCGACAGTACAGCAACAAAATTTGTAAGAATATTTTTACAAACAGACAAGATTCCCTAGCAGTGACTCAGGAGATTTCTCCATGGGTTGTCCTTGTACTGCACAATCCAACAAGATGGGGAAAACATGCATAGCAGGGCTTCTTCCCAGACCATTTACCAGCAGTGGCTATAGAAGGCATTTGTATTCCGGGATAGCCTGAGAAGCATACGGTAGGCTGCACGTGCTCTGCTCCAGGTCATGTTACCAGGTGGGGACTTAAGATGGGGACTTAAGAATAGAGCAGTCAGCAACATTCCAAGTCATTGCCCAATTTATTCCCCCCAATAGGGCTTCATTGGAGGAATCTGTATTAGTATTAGCATTAGTATTAGTCTTAATATTTTCTCCACAGCCCCCATCCAGAGCTGGCTCATATTTAAATTGGATATTTGTTTTGCCAGCTTTTCCTCCACACCAAATTTGGCCCCATTCTGTTATTTTCTCAAAGACTTAACTTGCTGACAGAAGTCTCAGCCCTTTTACATAATTTCTTTCTAAGACAGTCGGAGAGGAAAGAATAAAAATAAATGGTTGAAAACATTTTTGCCATTTCAATTTATTGAAATAATTTAAAACTTAGGGACTGATATCAAATGTCAACATTTTAGTAAGATGTCTACTTATTGATGGTGGTTGTTTAAAAACAACAACAGGAAGCATTTTATCGGTAATATGTTTCCATCTGTTTCTGCAATTTACAGTAGTAAATTATAAAGTCCTATACAAACACAAAACTACATAGGCACCATCTCCATTCTATTGCATGCTGTGAATGGGCCAGGGAGGGCATCATTAAAGAAACATATAAAATTTGGTCTGTACTGTTTTCAACACTTCTGACTGTGCCAGTCTCCAGATATAAGCCTTAAAAGAAAATTGGACCAAATCTTTCCTACTGTATAATCTAAAATATAGAGAACCCATGTCCAAGTTTGAATTCTCCCATCCAGGATTCTTTCAATAGCGAATGATACAGCTGGTGGAGTGTTACTTAATTTTCATACATCAAATTACTTTCCATTAATTACTTAGAAACATTTATTCAAAAAATATTACATTGTCACAAATATATGTTGAAACCTAATTAACGAAGAGCTGGAATTTCAACACAGAACCAATTGTTTCCTTAGTCTCTGGGCCTACTTCTTCACTAGGGGTGAGTTAACTTGGAGCCTCCAAGAGGATTTTTCTTCCCCTAAAGGGCATAATGAGATGGTGGACAATCCCTGGAAAATACTTCTTCATGTTTAAGTTATCCAGTTTTTCTCCAAAATGGCCAAAGTTTTCAGGCATTTGGGTAACATTTGCTCAAAGGCTCTTTTTTAAAATTTGTCAACTCTTGTAAAGAGGAGGCAGGGCAATTTATAGCAATTGCAACACTTCCCTGTGATGTATTTTGTCCTTTCCCACCAATATCAAACTTCAAAGAGGAAAGAGTGCTTTAGATGAAACACAACTTAATGATTTTATCTCATAATGGATTCTGGGAATCTTTCCTATCTGATGTTGTTAAATATGACAAATGAAAAGAGAGTTTATATTCCCAGCCACAATGATTTAATGTACGCTACTGAAGGATCAAGCATTCCCCAGTAGGGTCACTGTATAAAGCAGTGGCTGTCCAGTTCTGGAGTGGGACTTCTCAGAGAAGAAGGTGAAAGGCTGTTAGAGCCAGCACTGAAGTGCAAAGGCAGAAGTGGCCTGCAGAAATCAAGACAGAGATGGTGGCCTCCTTGTAGCAGAAGTTTATTGGGTTGATCGCCCAAAGCTCTGTGCTGGCTAGAACAGCTTCTCCCCCTCCTGTATTGTTCCCTGGCTGGCTGACAAGGAGAAAACTAAACTGAATGTGACACTAAACACACCACTCAAAACTCTCTCTCAGTTTTCAGGCTGAATAACTGGATGCAAGTTTCACCAGGACTGTCTGCAGAGAACAGAGAGAGCAAAGGCTTAACTTTTCCCCTCCTCAACCAAGGTTTCAATGGAAGCAACTTTTCTGAATTATCCCATGCAGTCACTAGCCTTTTCCAGCTAAAGCACCTATTGGTACCACTTGGTAACTCAAGATGGCAGCCTGTTCTGGGTGGGTGAGTGGATTTTTGTCAGTATCCCAGCTAAAGGGTAAGACCAATATTTGGCTTTCCAATGGTTCTGTTGAGAACTGGGGCTTCCCTGCCAGCGTTTTTCTTTAGCCTCAATATGCTTTGGAGTGATGTGCTCAATATCACATCTGGTATGATCCTGAGATATCCTGTTCTAATTGTCAAGCCCTGGACTGAACTAGCACACTAGTGCCTGGATATTCAGGCATATGAGTCCTTAGGCAACACTGATGAAATAAAACAAGTTTAAATGGATGCAACAATTGGATCATCCTAAAGCTTGAGAGATGCTAGATCTGTAAGTAAGAGTGGCACTGGTTTGTTTCATTTTGCTAAAACAAACAAATCAAAACAAACAAACAAAAAAGCCTAGGATATTGTTAATCATAGATTTGGAAGGGCCCGTTTAGACCATTTTATCCAAGAACCTGCTCAGTGCAGAAATTCACATTAAAGCATCCCACACAGATAAATCCAAATTAATGCATCCCAGACAGCTGCCATGCTTCTCCTTGAACTCATCCAGTGAAGGGAAGCCCACCATCTCTTTGGGGACTTGGCTCCCCTGTCAAAATGCTCTTGCTACTGGGAAGTTGGAATCTGCCTTCCTGTAACTTAAATCTATTATTTTGTGTCCTGCACTCTAGAATGAGAAAGAACAAGTGAATCTCAGTCTGAGTATCAAGTACAATTACTTTATATGTTTGGATGGGAAGAAACTATTTCTCAGATATTGCTTTCTCTCTCTGGTATTAAAGGTCAGCAGCTGATGGGGATGCCTAGCAAGGAATGCCTTGATAGCAAATGTCCATGAAAATGTACCTAAGAAGAAGCTCTTAAGGCACTTGATAAAAGGAAATGGATTACAAATTTTAAGTTAAAAGCGAGGAATAGTGTAACTCTTCAAAAGCTTGTATAAACATACCAGGGGTTGAAAGTGGGCAGAGGGCAGAAAGCTGAGCCTGGCCTCCTCCCTTCTCTTTCTGCCTTTTCAGCAGGGAGGTCTTAGGAGTTCCAGTGCAATCTAGGACTTAGGATCCAAGTTCATATGGCACTCAAGCAAACATGAGTACAGTTCTCTTGGCTGTATCTGGGTAGGCAGGTAGAGGGCTGCATGCATGGATTCATCCTCTACCCACTTTCCAGACCTCATGGAAATGAATGCCTAGAGAGGGCTTCTGGACCTCTATGCATTTGCTATAAAAAGAATTGTTCTTCTTCGTGGTTAGGGAAAGATCCCTCACAAGCCCAGCACAGCTCTGAGGGCCCTGTCCACTTCATCAGGGCCAACAGGTTCAAACTCCTTCCAGATAACCAGGCAAGACTGTACCTCTGGCAACTCCACAGGACCTTACAGCTGGAGTAATTCCCCTACTTATGGGCAATTGGAGGCTTTGATTTACGAGCCTACTTGCTTTTCCCCCTCTGCCCCAGAGTGCTGAATTTCAGATTTTTCCTTCTGCTTGCTTAATTTGCATTCTCTCCTTTACAGATTATGCCCCCATTTTAGGTCTTAATATTGTTTCTTGCTCTCCTTTTTGTCACAGTCCTCTAGACTATCTGTAGCCCTCATCAAAACAGATTTGCATATAACATTGTGAAGATGGAAGCTGGAAGGTTTAAAATTTGCTTTTCTGCTTCATTAGTTATTCTAACGAACAGAATTTTTTAGTGAAAGCTGTGTCTTTTGGTGATCCAACTTGTTTAAAGTACTTTTTGATGCTGAAAAATATACTTTTCTCTTTGTATATATACTGTATGTATTCAGTGTGTACTTCCACACATTGTGTTTTCTTGATTTCTCTTCCCTCAAATAGTTTTCTGTCTGCAAACTTATCAAAGTTAAAAACATTTTCTGATCTCGTCTTTCCCTGACCCCCACCACAGTTGTATTAATTCCAGTTCTCAGGATGTTCCTCCAAACTAGGAACTGTGTTGAAGGTCAGATTTCTGCTGATTACTCCTGTTGTAGTAGAAATCAAACTGTGCACATAACTACCACATGGAAAACATTGTAAAGCTATCATAAAAGGAAATACACCCATTTGATCCACCTTAAACCAAGTCTAGTTCAACCACCCTCAGTGGAAAAATAATTCCATAGTTTGCCAGCAAATAAATTATACATCCTGGGATTTCCAGGGTGAGTTTTGAAATGTATCCTTTACACACCCAGCCCAGGAA